CTAATCTGTGCCTTTTCCACGATAAGTATAATGTTTTGTATTGTATATTGTATTGTACATGTCTTAGTGGGTTAAAACCTTGCAGGTAGTTAGGAAGGGAAGGTTTACAAATGGAAATTGACCTAAAGTGATGACATTACCATCAGCAGACAAGTCAAGTGACATGAAATGGTGCCTCATTTAAAGTACTATATCTCCTGAAGTGTATATCCAATTTGGTTCAAACCTTGCAGATATCTTGAAAAGGGAGTGCTTTGGAGGAAATTTGACCTCATGTTATCACTTCATCAGGAGACAAGTCACGCGACATTAAAGATGCATATCTAATTCTAAAAGGGTACATGATGGTTGATGTTTAGAATGAAAAATGAGAAGTTTATGCCTATTTGAGAACAGAGCATAAGGCTTTTCCGCATTTTCAATGTTGTTTATAAAAGAGAATAAGGATTTCAAAAATGGACGTTAAATATCACATTATTTTTGTCCATAACACTTCCCTTTCTAACGATCTTCAAAGTTCAATTCAAGCTCAGAAAGACATAGGGCTTCAAACATTGCACCTTTAATGTCACACGACTTGTCATTCAATCAATCCATCATCACATGAGGTCAATTTTTGTCTGCAACCCTTCCTTTTCTAGTTTTCTGCATAGTTTCAACTTGATGGGATACATACTTCGGGAGATATAGGGTTTTAAGCATGCACTTTTCAGGTCATGTGACTTGGCAACTAATGAAGTTATCATCACGGTTCGTTTTCGTCTATCCCTTCCTTTTCTAGTTACCTGCAAAGTTTCAGCCCAATCGGACACGTACATGTACTTCAGGAGACATAGGGCTTTTAAGAGTGCACATTTAATGTCACATGACTTGGCACCTGATGACATCATCATCACATGAGGGCAATTTTCATCTACAGTGTATCCCTTCCCTTTCTAGAAATCTGCGAGTTTCGACCGGATGGGACATTTACTTAAGGAGATATAGGGTTCTAAGAATGCACATTTAACATCTTGTGACTTGGCACCTCATGACATCATCATCACCTGGTCCGTTTTGTCTTTGGTACATCCCTTTTGAAATATCTGCAAAGTTTCAACCCAATTTGCACCTTAAATGCCATGTCACATGGTGACGCCATGATGATGATTTTTTCTTGGACCCTGTCTACCCTGAGGAGTGAGTGTGGACCTAATACAATGTATTGACTCAGATCGAAAAGGGCCTTAGTCTTGCTGTTGAAAAACGTGTACGAAAATATGGGAAAATATTGAATATTATAAATTCCACAATAAATCAGGTGATGACGTCATTATGACACCCTCGCCATAAATTACTCAAGTGTGTAAAGTTTTAAAGTCATATGACTTTGTTTAATGCCCCAAGACATGATGAGAAAAAGGGCTGAAGTTTCACTCACCATGTGTGGCTGTTAAATAAATCAGGTGATGACATCATCATGACATCATGTTTCGTGAAACACCTTTGCTATAAGTTACTTATGTGTATAAAGTTTTAAAGTCATATGACTTTGTCTGATGCTCAAAGAGGTGACAAGAAAAAGTGGGGAAGACCAAGAAGAAAAAAAAAGAAAAAGGTAGAAAAACAAAGCCTTTGCCGCATAGCGTACTATGTGGAAGAATACTATGGTATGTGGAAAAGCCAACTACATGTACACATCAAAACAAGGGAAAAAAACAAATAACTCACTTGTATTGGTCACCTTAGTTATGGAAGTTCCAGCATTACCAGGTGCCACAAAAACTTGAGACACCCGCTCTGATTGGGCAAGCTTCCAGGCTAAGGCATGCTCTCTCCCTCCACTTCCAAGAACAAGTACTCTGTCTCCCATGATATTAATCTAAAAAAAATTAGAACTGTGTTACACAAAGGACATATGCATTTGTTCTAACCACTTGCCTACAGTGTTATTCCATGCTCCTAGGCACGGTATTTTTTGGGCTTAACACTGACTTTCAAAATGACATTCATGTTTCACAGCCACAGCCTTACAAAGTTAGACTGAGGTGGTTATTTGTTCAAGATTTATGTGATATTTCTTACCATATCATTGCTTTTTTGAAACTCCAAGACAATGAGGGTGGAGTGGCGATAATAGACATCAGGCAGCACTATGTACATGTATGCATGTACAGAATTTGCTAGTACTTACCTAAACATTGCCTATGCTATGACACAGGGAGTCCCTGAGTATTTATAATGTACAAGTTATCCAGTGTACAGGTTAAGTATGAAATGTTCACTTACATTTGCAGCTTACATGTAGGCCAGAAGCCAGAAGGGGTTATTGGGTCCAAGAGATGCATTTTTGGAAAATTGTCATTGAAGGGACATGCAAGCATTGACACAATACAAACGCACATGCATCGGTTCAGTGCATAGGAAAGAGTTTCATATCCGGATATCAATTGACAGCCTATGCAAAACCCTATGAGGCTGATTTGAAAAATTGTATTTTCTGAGCTATGATTTGATATTTTTTCTTTCTTATCCTTGGCATTATATCGAAACTAAAGGACCTTGCAGAGTATAACAGTAGAAGTACAGAACTCTAGCCCTAGATTACGGCCAGTCTAGAGGACTACCTCCATATCCTGGCCCCAGACTAACTCCCCAAAAGTGAAGACTTTGTGAAAAGCTTCCTACATGTATGAGCCACATTTTTCTCATAAGGCTTCATGGAATGGGTCATCATTGATTGATCATTGAATGGGTTGAATGGCAGTGCTAAGGAATGTTAAACAGGAGTGAACTGAAATACATGCAATGATTGGGATCAAGTGTGAAATCACTGCCATATGCATGACGCTACTGATGTGCACACCATTCGTTCATCTGATCCCTGCTGCGCTGCATAACCACATGGCTCATAAAAATACCTGACAGCTGTTTCTTTCAATACATTGATATTGATAGCTTTCACGTGTACACAATGCTTCATCATGGGTGATACGAAGTCACTGATAGAACAGCAGTTGTGATCAATGTGTTTATCACTGTCTGGTTCCAGGGCCAAACAGATCCCGACTGTGTTTAATCATTTGTTCAACAATCGGGAACCGATAAAGGTGGTATTAAAACTAATGGCCATGCTGAGACTACAAAAAAGAAACCAAAATATCACAGAAACAGTTGGAAAATCGCCCGAAATGTCGAATTGATTACCAGTTGATTGAAGCCTTATAAGCAAAATGTACATGTACTTACAGAGCTGCATGTCTGGAACCTTGAGTTTATGGCACCTGCAGCGTAGCTGTGTGAATGGACTGATACCAGCTGGACATGCAATATGCAAGCGCTGCACGAGTTGTAACTTAGTGGCTGTGTCAGCCACGCCCAAAAACGAAAACTGTTGTCACCACATGGAGATTCTAATCACCTGGCCAGTTCAGTTCCCGGTTATGCCTAAACCTGTAGATTGTTTTATGGTAGCTAATACATTCCTCAGGTCCCCTCTAACTACATTTCATTATGCTGCTGTGGACTTGTAAGTAGTACCAGGTCACAACCCAAAAAGCCAGCCAGTCAGAACGTGTTTGTAAACAACACATCCAGTTCCTGATAGTGACCATATGGGCTCCTTAGGGGTGACTGATTTTTCAAGATTTTTAACTCGGCAGTGGTTGGGGCCTGGCCAATGGGAGTTTACAGGCTTGTGGTGTCAAATGTATGCCTGGGGTGAGGATTCAAAAACTCTTTGTCAAGTTGGCCCACTGAAAAAAGTTATGACCATATTTGGTGATATGTGTCGATATCTATCCCCGTGCCATTAACACCAGGGTTAAACCCCCCCTCCGAAAATGCTTGAACTGACGTGTGGAACTAGCTCAGCCACTGTCCCACTGTCGCAGCCACATGTACATGTAGAGCTTAAAGTGTACAGTATAGAGCAATCATTGAATGGTGAGTAAATCTCTGATTTTTCAAAATATGATCGGTCTTATGGTCTGAAAACCACCGTTACACAGTGAGCTACGGGTTACTCATGGTTACTCTCACAGGGAAATTCAACTGAAAGTGGAATTTGCATCACCAGATAATTTACCTCAAAGGCTCAATTCTACAATTTTAGATCTGATATTGAAATTTTACCTATAGAGTATTGTTTTTCTGGTAATACAAAAACCATTTACTGAGCTGAAAGTTGATCAGGGTTGTTCCTCAGATAGGCACCCTCCTGGTATCCACCACATAGCACATTTACCACTTTGCCCATTTGCCACTTCACCCATGCGCCACCTCGCCCACGTGCCACTTTGCCATGTTTGCCTCGGCGCCACTTCACCCATTGCTTTTGTCAAAATTTAAAAGAGAGGAAAACACAAAAAGCAACTACCCAACCCCTACTGAATCCATTCTGATAACCAGCAGAGGTCAAATAGGAATCCTAGGATATAGTGAAGTTTGAAACTGTGGAGGTATTCTTTGATGTAAAACCCCTGCCAAGCTAAAAGCAGGCACGGTGCCTGAAGCAAGAACTGAGCATGGGATTGCTGGGAAACCGAGTGATTCCTGTGACAACATGAAGTATATTCCAAATTTGGACATGAAATGATAAAAAAATTAAGGAATATTTCAGTGAGTTAAATAACAGAGTTAAGAGTTGTCTTCACACATCTAAATGTACATGTAGGTACATTTTTCTGTTTTAATAAGGTCTCAGTGCATGCTGCTGTGAAACTTCAGAGCACTGCAACAGAAACCAACTTCACATGTACATGCTTTTATCGTGTAGGGGTCTTGATGTTTTGATTGTTGTATCCAAAACACTGCATGCAATCTGTTAAGAAACATGCAGAGATTTGTCGGTTTAATAATGACAGGCCTACATGTACTTCCATGTGAATTGGGGTGTGCATTAGGAATATTACAGTGAAAAATATGCTATGGGTGAAGTGGCAAATGGGCAAAGTGCCAAATGGGCAAAAATCGGTGAAGTGCTTGTGGGAGAAGTGACCTTAACATCACCATTCTGGGTCTTGCTAATCACACTCGACACAATAATAACATCATTACAACGTCAAACCTCTAAAATACATGTACATCTTAAATCAACTAAAGAAGCATGGAACTGTAATACTTGGGCCAAGTGAAAAGCTTCAGTGGTTTGAGGTTACTTCACAATTTTGAAAATGGAGTTGTTTCACATAAAAAAAAAAAAATCTCTAAGCAGGGGGAATAGGTGGGAAAATTCCTGATCTGAATGTTCTAGTTCAGTTCCCCACCAGATTCATACAACCGCCCTCTACTGGTTTATCGTATAATATCACCACCCTTAGCATAATGGTATAGTCGGAGCTGTCCTGGAGGCAACATGGCTGCCAATTTCGGAGCTGTTCGGAGGAGGCAAATTTAAACAATTTGTGGTTCAGCCAAAATATCCTTTTGGCAAACACGTTTTTGTCCAATAAGCCTACTGCTTCTTTGAATTTAGAGCATGTTTTAGAGGTGTTGAATGTGTGTGAATAGTGTGTTGACAGTATTGTAGGCCTGTACTGGGTATCCGGGTACCCGCCCGTCGATATGAAAACCCGGTTCCATTTTTTCGGGCTGGGTACCCGAAAAAAAAGTAAATCAATTCGGAACAGAAATCTGTGTATAAAATTTCTGTGAAATATCGTACTTTCGCGACTTGCTGAAAAATCACTGTGCCGCTGAAAACCCGGTTCCTTGGTCATAGGGCCTACACACATGTACATGAAACTTCAGTGTGGAGATCGACAGCTACATGTACTTTTGTTATCCACACGTACCGCCCGTTGTACTGCAGTCATTTTCCTAGTTCTGGATTGTTCCTAGTTCACAAAAGCGAAAAACGACACTCACTACATGTGATTTCAAATACTTTTTTATATTGAATAATCATATAAACTTTTGCATGTGATGTCTGCTTAATCAAAATAACTTTTAGAGTTTCCGTTTTTTGTTGATTGAACGAAAAATGAAGCTTTTTCCCTACTTTCGGATCACGCGGCGTTACCATGCAAATTTGTTGCGAACTCAACTACACGGGCGCCGTAGAAATGTATGTGACATAATGGGTTCGTCAACCGTGTGTCCAAATACAACAGCTTAGATTTTGAAAAAAATTTAGGTACTATTTCCAACACAAAGTTGACTTCTAACCATATTTCACTCGAATTTAAGGATTCTTGTAGCTGCAATCTTACTGAATCATTTTCACGATAGGGAACTAGGAAAATGACTGTACCCGTACTAAACCTACGAACAACAGACCGAAGGAATTTTGTCTTCTGAGGTGGAAGCGCTGTTGATGTACAATTGCATGACTGTATTTGTAACTTTCAAACCTGTCGGCCAAAATGACTTTTATGTTTGAGTTAATAGTATTTTTGTCAAATATAACAATATGAATGAAAATTACTTTATGTCGGGATTGACGACGAAGCGAGAGTGGACTGTGTAATAAACCAGCAGTACTGAGACTCCACACGTGCAGTAAATAGTGATCACCCACAAATTGGGCAGTTGATCGGCCTCTTATTATTAGCTGGTAACCAAAGCACTGAATGAGCTCCATAAACTCAAAGAGTCAGAGAACCAGTTTAGTTTTTGATACCAGGAAATATTCCATAGTTCATTCAAACTTTAGTTTCAAAATTACTTTTAAATTAAAGCAATATGAAGTTCCTCAGTTATTCAGCAGAACTGTGGATGAGCAATTGAACAAAAAGCAGGAAGGATGTTTTCTGTATGCACAAAAGCATTTCAAATCTCAGTGTTTCTTTCAATCAAAAACAGGGAAATGCTGACAGGTCACAATACAGTCGGCCAGTCAAATACCACTTGTTCAAGTACTTATACATTAAAATCTTGACAACTCAAACATCAGGGGAATAGAGTTATCCTAAAAAAATGATTTATTAAAATAGACCACTTTATCATGGTACCTTGATGTGGCAAAACTGTCATATCACTTAGTCTTGTTTACAACGTGAAGTGCTGCACTTAGTCCTATTTTTTTTACTTGGGTTCCCTATGTGTGGTCACATAACCTTTCCTTTTGTGATCACATGGCCGCTGCAGTGTCAGCAATTGGACAGCCTGAAGGGGACTTCAGTTGCGCCCGCATTAGCAGTCAGGTTAGCTTCAGTAGCTCGAAAGCAAGGAATGCAGTTTCAGGTAACATTGATTTATGCAACATGCACACAACTGGTCCCCATGAGAAAAGAAATGCACTTGGCAGTGATGACTTCTAACCCTATTTAGACTTCCAATACTTTCAACGCTGTTTGAAGCATTTTGGTGGCGTTTTTTTTAAATCAGAAACTTCAAAATGAGTGGATACATAGTGTGGGCATTGTTCGAGTTACAGAGATATTTTTGTTCATAAATGCCTTTAACCCATGACACATAGCACTGATCTGGTCCGCACGTGACACGACCAGCGCTCACTATTCGTGCACGTGCATTCTGCATGTACCATGCAGCATCAGGGGCATTTCCTGTGAGTGGTTGCTGGTGTGTTGGTGGTTTGCAGCTCTCGTCTGTTCTGATGTTCCTCGTGAAAATTTTGTTTTTCTGTTTCATATACCCACAAAAAGACAATTTGCAAACTGAAGGTAACAATTTCTGTTGATACATATATAAACGTCGATATAAACGAACGCTACTTCCTGAACAGTAAGGTACTACTCCATGGGCCTTACTGGGTCCAACTTTTTGATGGTTCCGTGCGCTACGGCATTTGAAAAGTGCCCTGCAATCGTCAAGTGATCGTACCAGAGAAAACCTCTGTTTGCGCTTTCTGAAGCAAATCTTCCCCTAAAGACCCTACAATAATAGCTAACCTACAGTGTATATGGAACTACCAGGCTCAAGTGCGTTTTGTAGTGTTTTACCTATATTACTAGCAAAAAACTTAGGTTTTTCTACCACCCCCACCTCTCATCCCTCAGCGACCTGAACACATCTGCATTACTTTATAGTGTGGTTCCCTGACCACAGATGTCCCTGACGTCTCCATACATAATCTTAATGAGAGTAGCCTGAATTATAGGGACTGGTATCCAAAGCAACATAAATGCTTGTTACGCAAATGCGCTGCACCTGTTTTGTCACATTTGTCACAGAGAATGTATTTGTGTGTGGGTCGTCGAGGGATGAGGATGGTAGAAAAACCCTAATTTTAGCCAATATAGGTTAAACACTACAACACACACTTGTGCCCAATAGTTCAATATGGGTTTATAACGTCTTTAGGGAAAGATTTGCTTCAGAAAGCACAAAGGGAGGTTTTCTGTGGTACAATCACCTGTCGATTGCGGGGTACTTTTCAAAAAGCCTGAACATCGTCAAGATTCATCAAAAAACTTAATCCCATCCCATTATCACTAGCTGACCGGCACTGCCAATGCCATGATGACTGTAAAGTGTAGTCATGAAAGTAGTGCCAGCCTACTTTTCGTACTAGTGAGTAGGCCTATGTCATGTGCTTAGGCCTAGGCCTACATGTACTTTAAGTTTCAGTTTCATGACTTTGACTGAGTTGTTTTGTAAAACTTGTTTCCAGTAAAAGTAAGAAATACCATTTGAAATGGGAATAGGGAAGGACCATCACGCTATCTTACCAAATTGTTCAAACTGGATCAGTTGGGTCTAATTATCAGCACTCATGCAAGCTGTCAGTCTTAAGTTGTAATCGTCCGTGTTTCACTGTTCTTCAGGCCTAGGCCTACGTACGTCAAAGACACAAGGCGCACGTGCACTGCCTGCCTAGCCTTCGTGTAACATGCGTTCTCAGACTAGACATGGATGACAGTACAGTACGGACACATGTGGTTGGCGCGCCATCTGTAGACGAATCCGATTGCTTGCGAAGATTGGCCAGTCGCCAAAACGTCATAGGCCGTTTTCCAATACTCAATCTTGTCTCCGCTCAGCCTTCGTCTCCAAAACCAATACCTGATTGTGGGTCTAAAGCGTTTAAATCAAATTAAAATACTGTAATATTTGGTTCGTTTGCATCTTATTTGATGTTCTGTGGCACTTACTATTGCGCTTACAACTTCAAAGACAGGTAGTTAAAAACAGTTTAAGGCAAGAGAGGAACCATAGTCGAGTATTGCAAAACAACAATAGGCAAATCCGACGACCAAATTTAAAATAAGAGGTACTGTATTTGTTTACACCGCGTACGGTGCAGCGCTTTGGGAAACCTCCATGCCGAAGGCGACCTTTGGGGAGCTAACTTTTAGCAGTTATGAAATTGAAGTCTCTCTTTAGGGTTAATCGGATCTTTGTTCAAAAGTGGTGCCAGAGAATACAACCCGTCAGTCACGTCAGCCTGTTGTCTGGCATGTCTGGTGTAGTTGGCAGATCTCCGTTTTTGCTTGTCCATAAGCCTACATGTAAGATCAAAAGTGCGCTTGGACACATTGGAAGAGTCTTTCCGCGGCCGCAGCATTCACGTAGGTAGGCTTGTGCATGGCTTGTGCAACTACAACTTACAAGTGCACTACGACTATCGTCAGATTGTGGGACATGTAACTATTATTAATAATCGTGGTATCAGAAATTTTGCATTTTGCGTAGACCCGTAAACAGGGCCCAACAAGTATACGATGGAGGAGTATTCGTTGGGCCCTGTTTACGGGACTACATTTTGCGTTGCCAGTGAGTCTACAATTGACAATTAGGCCTATTCGCCCAGGTAATCAATAAATTATAACCCGAGGATAAGTTTTATTCAAACAGAGTGAAAAATTCAGCATGTTTCTGTAAGTTTTGATAATTTTTAATAAGAGATGGCATTTTTCCGAAATTTGTAAATTTTCCTTCACCATATGTTCACCGTGTCTGTTATCACCTACCGTCTGTCTCTTTAACAGTTATATCTTACGCCATCCTGCCCCTGGATATCCGTTGCTGGGTTGCCACATGTCAATTCTTAAATGGCCAAAGGTGTCTGAAGGCACATTTAACTGCCAAAATGCTCATTTTTTTGGAGTCAAATCAAGGGCTTCTGCACTGAAAAACCTTTGCGTGCGTAAAGCGTGCCCCCAATCTCAATTAGCCTTCGGGGCAATAAAATAATAGCAAATAACTACATGTACATCGGCATTATTGTCTCCAATTTTTTGCTGTTTTTACACAACTTGAATTTTTCAGTAGATGTTTAGAATTTTTAACATTAATTTTCAGTTAAATAGTGCAGGTTCAATGATATGGTTATAACTCTTGGGGAATTAAAACTCAGAAATCAGACACTTTTAATGATTGTTTTAGACATCCATAATAGAATGAGTCCACCAAGAAAATTAAATTTGCAATACGCAAATATTTATTATTCCTTCGGCAAACACCAATTTAAGCAATAAAATGGAATGTCAAAGTTGTTGCTGTAATTAAGAAAAAAAGTTCTGGTGAACAAAACTGAAGTTATTCAATGCCAGATAAATAAGTGTAAGGTGACGCACAGCAGTTATTCCCATCTCGGTCTTTCTTTAACCCTAACCCTCCTCAATCCTTCACCTGTTGGAGGATTGAGGAAGGTTAGGGTTAAGGAGAAAACTGGAAAAAAATAGAGTAAATTACAAGTAATATGGAACTTTACCACAAAATAAGGTTATTTTGTTACCTCTGAAAACTAGATCATTCTGTTTATCCTCATTTATTCATGTAAACAAAATGCTTTAAAGGCCATCATAGAAACCTTTTCTCGATACTGGGATTCAGACACTCCACCTCCGCTTGCATACGATGCGTACACAGATTTTCACAGTTATCGTAGAGGTTCTTATGAATCAAGTTAAAGAGTAAGAGTTACATGTAAATAACAGAGAGGACACAATAATTCAGGAAGGTGAGCAGGCAATCTGTATTTTGATCGGAAAATGTGACAGTTATCGCGATAATAGAATAAACTATCCTATGATGTAAAACCATGGCTTGACCTATGGCATTATATGGCCTACGTAGTCCGTGTAACTTGGACTTTACAAATTGCCAGTTGGAAATGGTTGGGCCATGTAGCCATGTCCAAATATTTAAAAGGGGGATTTGTAGAGTCCAAGTTACTTGGACTGTGCCATGGCCCACAAGGCTATGTATCCACACCAGAGACCGGTTTTCGAGGGAATAAGGCTTTTTCTTTAATTTAAGAAATACAAACAAATCCAAGATATATTAGCTAATGTCCTAATCACTTTTCCTCAGTCACAGGCAATGTGAAAACAACGATCAAAACTTGAAAACCTTGCTTTTGCTCAACAGAGCAATCTCCGATGCTGTCACAAATGCGCCACCCATCGATGACCATGACCTATTTTCGAGGTTTGTATAGGGGGTACGGTGCCCAAGTGAAGCCATATGTAAATTAAATGTTTGCAGCTGCGCGGCGCCTCTCGTACGACCTCATTTCATCCTATACAAATTGGGAGTCGTCTTTTCGCAAACCAACTTCTTTTTACCTCGCAAGGTATTAGTATGATTTTAAATTTCAAATTAGAAATAAAAGGTAAAACTATAGCAGGTGTTTCTTTGCTTTTTAACTCCAAAAGTTTCCTACTGTGTTGTGTCCTAACACTGATTTATTATCAAGAACATCATGATCAAAATGTAAAACTACGGATAAAAGTTAACGCATCGAAGATCACGTTTCAGCAGGCTACGAACTCACAAGACTTAGATTCTGCCACAAGAACACAAACACGATTAAAACATGTAGATCGTGTCAACTTGTGCATGCGTAACACACTACATACATAACACACTTTTTTTTTGTTTTTTTCAGTTGCAGCTAAGCCTGTGTTTCTTTTTCATTGAACAGGAAACCATTGAAAGTGGTAAAATGGCAAATGTTTTCAATTGAACACACATCATTTATTTCTAACACTGAAACAAACAACATGTTTAGTACTTACAATGGAGATCATGTGATAATAATTCTCCCTTGGAAACCTGACGAAAGAAACTGTATTCATAAACTTTACTCCTCTGTGGGTTGGAGGCAAGGGAGACCATGGTAAGGAAAATAAAATGTATCCCCTGCACGTGGACGGGTGACACCGCAACAGTACTTGATGTGTGTCCAGTGCAAGCAGTTTTCAAACATGCTTTGGCCCCGTGACGTTAGGTACTGTAGATGGAGTTGGCAAGTTCAATGGGTTGAAATCGATGGCAAACACAGCACTTGTCACTGTCATCAATATCTACATTGCTGTCATCATCATCAGTTGACATTGATGGTGCTATAGCCGAAGCACTGTAGTGTTCTCATGCAGTTGGCCAACTTGGACCAGGGTCAGATAGAGAAGCTGTGCAGGGCTCTTTTTCTCGGGCAAAAGGGCCGTTGTTTATGCATTGCATGCATTCTCACAGATTGAGTATCAATTGATCCCTGTCGTGGAGTTGGCCCGCATTTGTTGCTGACAAAAGGGCATTATATGTGCTCTCGAATGGCCCAAAATATGCCAAATCAAGTGGCTGCGAGACATACACTGTAGCTTGTATGGGCAGGCAAGACAAACAGCAAAAGATTTTGGTCTATTGCCCAGTCAATCAGTTTTATGTTGATGTGAGATCAATGGCCCTCATAGAGAAGGAGTATCGGCTCGTCTTTTGATCAACTCAACGTATTTCAAGAAATGTGATGAGAGGTACCTGTATATCATGGAAGTATTGGACCAGCCACTGTTGATAACAGTCTCACCTGTGCCAGGTAAGCAGCCGTTGAGTAGCTTCTGTCCCACACATGAACATTGTCCTGGGAATACAAAGCATGGAGGTAGTTGCTGTCCCAGAGCATTTCCTGCACTGATGATGGTAACAGTCATTCCTTTGCCACTTGTCATAGCAAGTGGGTTGGATGATGAGGCTGAGTCAACAATGAAATGCGGGGAACGGTTTTATTTGACACCCTTCCCATGCACATTGAAGATGCGCTCTGGTGCTGCCTTCAATTTGTATTATGTCATCACCTCTTCAAGCTTAGTGAAGTACATGTATGTCTTCACCACTTCTTCGTAGGTTGCCTTTGCTCTCTACAGATCAAGGCTTTGTGGCTTTTTCACACTCAGCTCAGGCCATCTTGACATGAAGTTATGGAACCACTTGAGGCTAGGTGGAGGATTTTCATCCCTTTTATTAAGACTGACTGCATAAATTGTGGCTGTGCCAATGACTGTATACCCTGCTGTATCCATAGCCTGGTAGAACCATCTTCTGCAGGGGACTGACCAGGTTCTCCTCAAGGCTGAACGGTGGAGCTGGTCACGACCTGGTGACTTCTGGATCAACTTTTCCCTGAAGGCCATCCCACAATGTGGTTTCAGGGACACCAAACCCTCTTGCAGCACTGCAAACTGACTCATTCTCATCAACAACTTACCAAAATGCTTTTGTTACCATTGATGGTGAACAGTTCCTGTAGGAATTTGCCCTAGTCTTCAGCACTAGGCTTGTGCACATGTTCTGAAAGATACAAAAATGATATACATGTATTTTGCTGTTTGGGTTTCAATTGATTGGTTGTAATAATCGATGAATACTTGGCATAATGATTCTTTAATCAAAATATATTTTTACTTATAGGCCTTCACTGTATAAAACCTTCAAAATGCATTTTACTATTGCAGTGGCCTGTAGTTACATCAGCGCCCTGATGAGGAGAGAGCTAATTAATTATGCAGCCCACAAGCCACATTTTACCTTGCGCGGGCAGAGCCTCAACATCCATAGTCTCTGGGTGTCCACATTTCATTCTTTCAGTTAGATTATACTTCTTTATTAATCTTCGAATGTAAATTACTACTTTATAAACACTGTTTTGTAAATAATCAATGCTGATTCCAGTGTATGTAATGGTTGAGGGTAATTACACGATGCGTTTAATGAATGGCGGAGCAATACATGTATGTTTAGCCACAGCTTTGTGGCTGTGCCTATGGGCATTGGGTGTTTTCGAACTTTCTAGAGTCCGGTCTTTTTCGCCCGAACAGAGATATTGACAAATGGGAAGAACTACCAACATAGGGCTGGATAACTCAGTTGGTAGAGCACTGGTATAGTGTTCTACGTTCTAATCCCACTCCAGTCAATTTCTTTGTTCATCTTTATAATCGTTAACTTTTATGTTAAGAGTAGGCATTCTAGAATTGGTACACTTTACATTCCCATGCATTTACACATGCTGATATACAGTATATTGTTTATTATGTCGTTTTTATATACATGTACTTGGAATGTACTGTATTGTGTTTTGACAGCAGCTCGAAACTTTGGGGGTTAATTGCCTGCATGCTTAGGCCATCGCCAGCAAACCTACATCTAGCTCTAGAACTCATCACTGTCTGAGCTACCACACTGGGGTAATTTACTAAAGTGCATGTGTTATACAGTAAACTCCGGCTAAATCGGCACTCTCGGGACTCAAGAAATTTTGACAACTTACGCAAATGCTGACTTGTGCTGTAAGTCGTCATTTTGCAGACTTACACGTACACATGTATTGCCTATGTACATTATGAATCCTTGCACTAATTAATGGCTTTGATTTACCCTGGTTTATTTCTACCTCCATGGTCGACCCCTGCAAATTCGTTCTCGATTATTATCCTCACAGGCTGCAAGTTCGATAATTGATCATGTGCCCCTAAGGACAAAGCAAGGACGGCAAGCCACTTGCATATCACATCACGACTCGACAGTGGAGTACATACATGGTCGAGATACAGTTACAGTACAGAAAACATACACTCATCCACACATGCGCATTGGTTAAGTTTGCTCAATATAGTCTGGATACCAGACCCGATGATTCTGACTACCCGATGAATCATTATTAAGGGTCGTCAGGGAATTTTTGGGTAGGGAACCAGACTATGTTCAATAAGGCGACCCCTAAAAAGGAAAGAGCGCATGCGTGTAGCCCTAGAGGGGCTACTGGTATTGAATTTTTTTCATGCCGACTTACACAAAGGAATTTTTGTGGTTTTGTGGAAAAGGGACCAAGAAAAACATGCCGTCTAATACAAAATGACGACTTATAAATGCCAACTTAGAAATGAAATTTTCAATGGAAATGTATTAGACTGTCAGGACTTTTGTCAACAGGCCGACTCAGACGATATGATGAGTTATGCAATGCCGATTTAGTCGGAGTTTACTGTATTTCAATTGCATGTTTTGCAAGACCACTTTTATAACTCCGAGAATAATAACTACTGTGTGACTACATGTATAATGTACTTTGTATGCAACATTTTTTTAGTTTAAATAGTCATGTCAAAATATGGAGGGCCTGACGTTTTGATCCTAGCAGAATCTTTCTCAAAGGCAAAATGACAAGTGGACATGACAAACAAGCAAACAGGGAATCAACCAAGCATGGATGAATGCAAGAGGACACAAGGAAAGGTCAAGAAAGCTGCAAGCTGGATAAAGGGACAAAGGCTAAAGGGGAGTGCATGAAAGGCATGGTTGAATAACAAAGGAATGTAAGGTGGGAAGAGATGAAAGAAAAAATACAATGGATGAAACTGGACTCAAAGTGGCAGGGGGTTATAATCTCTGGACGCTCTGGTACCACCCACATAACCAAAGGCACTATCAGTTGTAGCTCTTCTAATGTCATATACATGTATATTATCTCTTGCAGAGTGTGCAGTGTTAAGTATGTTGGAGAGACCAAGAACACTCTCAAGAAGCGTTTCTATGGCCACAGATCGCGGTCAACACCAAATGACTAGACACCCCTGTAGGCCACCACTTCAACCTTCCTAACCATTCTATGTGTGACATGATCTTACAGGGCATAGAATCACTTCAGTTCTGTGAAGATGCTGTTCGCTTCAACAGGGAGAAGCTTTGGATCAAACGCCTCCGCACCATACAACCCCATGGCCTGAACATCCAAAAGAGAAACTACTAATGAATCCCTTCTCGGCAGGAATTTCTTTCTGAAAGCCGACTCCAAGAATTCCAGCCTCGCTTGGCCACGAAGGCCACCTGCCAAACCGTAAATTCTCGGTTTGTGGCCCAGCGTGCTCTGCACGCTTTGAATTACACGCTGACTGTTCGGTGGCATGCAGCTCTACTCAAGCTTCCACATTCCNTTCATTTCTGGGCTACACACAAAGACCAATTACCATATACACAAGAGCTAGGGTCTGCCTTCTTTCATCGTGTTCGCTCGAGCATGGGCCGAGAATAATAGCTGAAAAGCGAGCTGAGGATCTCAATTTTTACGGTGGCTATAGCCGCCTCCCGGTGCGAAGAGGTTAACACTCTTTTCTTTCCCTCTCTTTTTTCTGCAGATTATAAGATTCTGCTAG